ATAATTTTTGGGAGAAATTGAACGGAAATTCGCGATTTTGTTTAATTATCAAACTTTTAATTATTTTTTTCACATAAATTTTTGAGGAGAAGATGTACCCAAATTTAAAGGGATTACAGCGATAAAAATATTCGGGATTCGGCACTTAAGATTCACGATAGTAAAAAAAATTTATTGGAATAGTGTAGAGGAATAGTTGGTGAGGTAATGATTCTACGGATTTAGTCATTTTGCATGAGTAACCCGCTGAAGGCACTACTTTTCTCGGATACTTGAGTAATCACACATGGAAATGAGAGGGAGATAAGGTCACTCATTTCTCGTTCAACTGACGTACAACTGAAAAAATCGGGTGTTTGTTTTATCTCGAGGTTAAGTTATTTGCGGAGTTCTTTGTGCTGTTAGACAATTGCTCATTAACTCTTTTTCAACCCAAAATTTACATGAAACTCATCGCCATTTCCATCCCCAAAAATCAGGTAACTCCCTCCAATATTCTATGCAATTCTAATTATCATAATTCTAATTATCCGTGAGCAATAACGGAAACGAGGAAAAATAGAAAAAATCTAATTCATATTTATAATTGAATTCAAAATTTCCATTCAAATTAATTTAAATACAATATCAATAAAAACTGTTAAAAAAAAATTCTCCGCTCATCGCGAAAATTGAAGAAGATGGAGTATTTTAAAATCATGAATTATTTAATAAAATTCTGAATATTCAAAATTTTCAAGATTTTCTAGTGCTGGAAAAATCGCGAATCCCTTGAATTTCCCAGAAATTGATTGATTGGTAGATAAAGAATTGAAATTTCAATTTTTTTTTGTTGTTTCTTGTGGATTATCGATTTGAGAATGGATTATTGCAAGTTTTCATGAGAATATTGTGGTTTATGGTCTCGTGCTTGATGCAGAAGTCAGATGATTGGTAGCTGAAACCTAGGGGGTTTACTCATTTCCTAACCCTCAGTTGTCCCCATGTCTCATCCACCTTTAAGCACCTACTAGGGTCCGAAAAGCCCCGCGTGCCATTTCAAAGGGGATGAAATTCAAAGCAATTTCGTGCAATCATCCAATTCCATCCGGCCACATACACAGACGTACAAAAACGTGTCCGCAACCGATGGCTCACGTTTTCTATAACCCGCGGGTATGAATGTGACGGAAAGGTACCCATACAGGTTTGCCACTGAGCTTCATCTCCAGTTTTCGTGGGAGAGAGCAAGGAGACAAATGGCTTCGTTACTGTGTCGTTATCCCCGCGATATCGGCAAGGGATAAAACATAATTATGCACTTGGATGAGTGATTCTCAACAAGACCATTGTCGAGACTACCTGATATCGGATGAATTATTGTAGGTGAAAATATATTGCCGATTATTTTATTGAATGAATCAATCTTTCATTTATTGTTAACAATTAAACTTTAGTTAAAGACTCGATATAATGGGAGCTAGGTTGTTAATTTTCAATGTTGCTAGCTTGAGAGGTCGTCTCCAAGTGTTCCCGGTCACCAATTCGTCCGGGGTGTCAGGTCTACCCAGTAGACAAGGCCCTTTGTGTATGGGGTTGGTCCACTAATTAATG